GGAATTGGCTCTAGTAGTGTACATAATCAGCAGGTTGATGAGCAGACAACAATAGCCTATATTTGGTATAGCCTAAATAGCATTTGGTTGCAGGCTAAAGCTCTATATTTACTGCAGATTTATACATAGTGATGAGTATCAGAACAATTATAACTATTCTAAATTTAGGTTTAACCAATTATTTTAACAAAAATGCCAAATATTTCCTAGTTCCAGCCTCTCAATTGAGCAGATTTGCTGTTTTTCTCTTTGTGAAGGTAAACGAATCTTCAGACTGTTAGACAGACAAAACAAAAAAACAAAAAAAGTGTGATAGGCTTTATTCACAGTTATCTGACATTTTGTAGACCAAACAATTAATTGATGAATTAAAAAAAATAACCAGCAGATTCATCGCTAATGGAAATAAAATTAGCAACATGGCTGATGTTTTGAGAGGCCGGGAGATGCTGCGTCTCCGTCTGCTTAGCATATGAAGAGGTTGAAGAGAGAGGCCCATCATTGGGCTTCCATACTTGAAAATCCATAATTGGTAACCAGCCTTCGTCACATTTACGCATTTGTTGATGCAAGTGGACAAAAATGGGGGAAGCAGAGCTGTATAAAAGCTGCCCGTCGTCCGTCCTCCTGCTAATCTACAACCAGGCCCGTGTGCAAAGACAGTGGGGAAGACATTCAGTGATGGCCAGGGAAGCAGTCACACGGACGTTCAGCATTGGACCTATTTGCAGTGGAACCGAAGCTTCAGATGATTTCTCCACAGCAAGGAGAAACAGCAGCGCGGGAGTCCGTGCACTCTTGTGGGCTACCAGCAGCGCGAGGTCCATCGGGTGCTCTCTAGGATCGGACTTCCAGACGAGCCGAGAAAGCATTTATCCAAATATCTTGACACCGGAAAGCATCCCACAGTTCACCATACCAAGTCTATCTGTGCAGACCAGCTCAAGATCACTGGACAAGGACACAGAGGAGGAGGATGCAGATTCAGAAGAAGGCTTAGGGAGTTCTGGGACTGAGCCGGAGTCATCTCCTTCATCCACCTCATCCCCGGGCCTCTTTGTGGTTGCGGCAGACCGCAGGGCTGAGCGGAGTGTCTCACACCCCTTCACCAAGAGGAGGTCTCTCCTTCAGAGGGAGCTGTCCTATCCCTGCTCCTACGCCGAGGCCCAGCACTGCCTGGACCCTGGCAGCAGAGCCGCCCTCTCCCTGCCACACCTGACCAAAGTCACCACACCGTACGGCTTCATCACCTTGAGCCAGAGCCCACAGATGGCGAGCGAGGAGGCACTTCTCTGCCAAGCTGGGCTGCGGCGCTCGATCAAGGACGAGGAGACTGCATGCTGTCTGAAAGACAAGAGGAGGGTGGCTAAAGACTTAACTGATTCACAGAATAAAGAAACATCAGTAAAAGGAGAGATTAAAGCTTCTCCTACCTCCCCCATCGGCGCTACAGTTTCATCCGCTTCTATGCCGAGAAACCCAGATAGCAAGCACAAACGTCGCTTCTACGAGGCTATAAAGAAACACTTCACCTCCCGCCGATAGGATTGAAATCCAGAGCATCTATTCATGCAAAAACATGCAAATTGCAAATAATTTCCTTATGAAATACACAGTTTTTGTCTTGTCAGTAGCTATGAAAACTCATGTACCAGTTGTCACTTGAAAAAAAAACAATAAACCAACATAAACAGACCACTGCAATATTGTGTGTATTATATTTTGAGTTTTTCTTGTTCTTATTTTACTTCAAAGTTCCCGTTTCTCCTCAAGCCGTTCATTTTTTTGGCAAAGAACTCAAACTGTTAAGGAGCATGGAAGGTCACCTTTAAGATAACGGTCAGAGAGTGAATATTTATAGTGTTTAAGGTTAATGAATTCCTCCAACGCTTTCAGGATTTTAAATGTCACTCACTTTCAAGCTGTATTCAGCCCCCTGGTCGAAAACGTCTGTATAGCTTCCACAGTTAGCCAGAACTGCGGACTCGCATGAATGTTTGCCATTTTCGTCCCTCAGGCCGAGAAACCGAGGCGTTCTTTCTCCTTAGCATATGAAGAGCTTCGGTGGAGAGGCCCTTAATGATGGTCGAGTGATGCATCCTCATATTCCCGCGTCTTCAACACTCCCACACACGGCAATGTAGCGTGTAAATATCATTGTGATGCAGAGTGCTTCTGCTCGAAGTGGCGGGCGATGAAAACACAAGAATGAGTCCCTGAACACAAGAATAGATGGTATAAGGCGATCTGAAATTCTAATCACTCGCCGTGTTGTTTGTTTATGTGCATGACATTTTACATTCATGCTTCAAGCCAAATAAGGCTTTCCGCTGTCATTTTATTCACTGACACAGTGGTTCCCAACCTTTTTCTTTAAGGGACCTCTTTTCTATCATTAAATAAACTGACGACCCCTGACCAAGCGACATCTTCTTCTGGATATTTCATGTTATATTTAATGCAGAACAATAACAGAGCAGAACAACTGATAAATTACAATTACAGTGTGTACGATTTATGGGGATTTATTGGCAGAAATATATTTTCACAAGCGTAAATAGGCCTGAAACTAAGAATCGTTGTGTTTTCGTTACCTCAGAATGAGCCATTTATATCTTCACAGAGTCCGCCGTGTTGCACCGCCATGTTTCTACAGTAGCCCAGAATGGACAAACCACACACTTTTTTACATTATTCTTAGTTAATTTGTAAAGGGAAGGGTGAGCGGAGGGGTTTTCAGTTTAATGCAATCTGCAACTTCACCACTAGAGGCCACCAAATCCTTCACATTGCTCCTTTAACTCAAATAGTCAACGCAATAACTACAGTTGATGTTAGAAAGCATAATGTTTGCCATTTTGGAACACACAGCAACATGCTGTGTCAGTTTAAAGCCATTAAAATAAAGCAAGTAGCTTCTCTCTAACTTACCATACTTTATTTTATTGTTTAGTGTTACTCTGAGAAGTGTTTCTCAATGCAATTCACCTTCAGGGACTCTTAGGCAAAGATATAAATGGAGTGAACAAAATACAAATTACTGAAAATGATAACTTTCATGATGGTAGGATTTATTACAGAAAGGACTGGCAACTGAGTGTATATTTATGATGACTAATTGATGCACTGTATATAGATAATTACCTCCTCTGCCAGTGGCTCCCTAACCTTTTCTGTCACGCCACCTTTTAGGAAAATAAAGTCTCTCTGTCCTGTTATATTGAAAGCAATATAGTATAGTAAATGTCTGTATGTCCTCCCCTGTAAAATATATATGCATCTAGTGTTTAACATCCATTTTAAATGAATCAGATTCATGGACCTTTGCTGCAGCAGACGTTTGTATTCATTGCACAAGATGCATTTGACACTGAAGCTCTGATTCATAACCACATGCAGATTGTTCTTATTGTTTAACCTTATAAGGCTGTTTTTGATGTGGTAATGCGCTTGCCACCACTGTCACTCACAAGATGATAACACATTGTCATCATGTTTTACAATGAGACAGTGACTGAGTCATTCTGGGATGGGAGTACTTCAGCAGCTTACACTTCCCCTCAAGAGTAGACTCTAGGTAGCACGACAGCACAAATAAGTACTGCACATAAAAATAATATTATATCATAGACACATTTGTTGTCATTAAACCTATCAGTATATCCAAAACTGGTGCATTATCAGTTGTTTTCTCATGTGGGTTTTCTCTCACTGTCGCATCATGTTATGAGATTTCTTTGTTGATTATGAATTCAAGATGCTTCAGAGGCTGTATTTACACACATATGATATTGTTGTTTATTTGTGATCGCCGTGCTGCAAAATTTTAAATATCATAATGTTGATGATAATGTCTTCTTAATTACATTTGGAGTCGAATCATTCAATTACTTAGGTGGTAAGCAATCACCTAAGTCATGGATTATTATAGCAATTCTTACATTCTAGTCAGCAATACTGACCTCTGACCTCTCAGTAAAAGAGTTGCCTTGGCAGAGATCGATGAAGCGTTTTTTATTATTTTAAAGCAAGTTATTATAAATGTGTCCACAATCCCCCAGTTGAACAAGATATTGACATGTTAAATCATCTCGGTCTTTATCTGCGTAAATATTTAACCTTTCTTTTAAAGTCAGTGAAAGCAAACACTCCTCCGTGCCAGCACCAAGCCCCGAAGAGGGCATTGCATGTATAAGGGCTCAAACTGCATCATCCAAAAGAGAGAAGTTCATGCTGTGGCTACACATTGCCAATGTAGATCCACTGAGAAAAAGAAGGAAACTAGAGTGCAAATAGAAGGGGCTTTGTCAAGTTGAGGTTAGCTTAGAGAGCAGTTTATTTCCCTCAGAACAGACACCCCTTTTCCGGTCCCAACCTCAAGCTCAGACTGAAAACGATGAATGCAAAAGATAACGAGAGCAGCGAAAACAACTTTGAAACATGCAACTACACACAGACGCAAGAGAGAGAGAGAGACGCAGAGAGAGAAAAAGCGACCGAGGGAGTAACTGAGACAAACGGGAAGTACTTCAGAGAGGCACTGAGTTAGCCACCTGTGAGCTCCACACACAGTGTGACAGCAGTGAACTGTGAGAGAGGTGCAGGAGCAGGTTAGGTGCTGTAACTTTGTAGATTCCTGATGGCGTCTGGTCCTGGCAGCAGAGCGGAGGAACAGCCACCAGTGCTGCCGGTCAAACAGCACAGGTAAGACCGACAAACTGTCTCATATAGATCTGATTAGAAGTTTGTGATTATTCTGCAATTTCTCTGATTGGGATATTAATCCATAATCACATATTAAAAAGATCCTACATAATTATGAAAGTAGATTTCATGTAAATATAATCTATTTGGTAATGTCAAGAATCCTGCAGTGCATGCACTTCAGATGTTTTTTGTTATTTTGTGCATCTTTGTACACAGGCGTCTTTCCTCCAGATGCTCCAGCGTGGAGTCTGACTGTGTGATGCTCAGCCTTGTTGGACTCCAGCATCAAACCTACGCATGCGACGACGTCTTCCCCGAAGCCATGGATTGTCATGCGGCCCAGTGCCCCATACACCAGCGCTACGGTAGGATTACAGAACAACGAAGTGAGGTTATGCAAAGGGCAAACTGCTCGCAAGCTCTAAATGTCACTGTAAAAACAAATACGATCAAATGTCATGTACTGCATCATTTACTGTTGTGTGCTTCCCCAATTCTGGAGAGGTGACAAACGTAGTGTGAGGGGAAAAGACACGTCTTACTATAATGCGTGGTTCAGTCTTTTCAGTTCGTCTTTCTCATGCGAACTGAAAGATAGGAAGTGACCATCTGAAACTCTTACTTTCTGGAACATGTATGTGATATTCAGGCAGATTACAATGATTTACAGAGTGTTCATCCAGACAAAACTGCCTTCTGAGGTGTAACTCCGTTGTGGATGCAGACTCCCCAAACTGTTGCATGGTCTCTGCTCTTGCTCCTTCTTCAAGTCTGACCTAAATCTCTCTCACTGTGTTGCTCAGATCGGCACCAGGTGAGATTTTTCTCCGATGGCACCCCGCCGCCCGTTCCAAAGAAGAGGTTAGCTCGCACCCTCTCCCTCCCCGGCAACAATGCGCCTCAACTTTCCCCTCTGTCTCCACTGCAAAGATGCCCTCAAAACTTTGACAACCCCCTGTACATGCTGGCACCCATACCCAATACATATTTCCTCGGGGAGATGGAAGAGTTTAAAGCAGTCAGTGGGAGTCCTGTCCCCTTACTGTCCTTCTCCCAGCTGTCCTTTGACACCCCGGACGAACACCTGCCCTACCTCTTCAGCGGATTTGACGACCAGAGAGTCGTCTCTCAGGGGATTCAGCATCGACATCTCCTCTTTCTGAGGAGCACGGCACAGAGCGTGGAGGCTGGGATCCTGCTGCAGGGAGAGGCCGCGGAGAGGGACGTCACCTCATGCCTGCCTCAGGATTTCCTGCTGTGTCAGGGCAGCGAGCCAAAGCAGATCGGAGACACGGTTTGCTACAGCCTGCACAGCCCCAAGCTCCCAGGGAGGATGCTTGGTTTACGGGTAATGTTTAGAGCTTTTTTTAATCACTCCACCTGGTATACAGTGTGTTCTGTGTGATAATGCATCGATGTTAAAATGTTCTGTTGTTGTGCACTATAGTCACTTGCAGCCCTTGCGGGCAATACAAAGTGGTCCGCTATGCACATTGCACACAATGAAAACTTGATCTTTATCGGGACTGGCAACTGTCAGGCTGACTTGCGGTACCAGAAGCACTTCCTCTAAACTGTCATCAGGTGTCACAACTGCAACAGGAATTAGATATCTTGTTTTTTCCCCCCACATTCAACACTAAGCACTGCTGCAGTGCATGTGTTTCTTAATTAATGTGTTTCTGTGCAGGTACACAAACAGAATGATGGAGCTTCCTCAGCTCACACCAAACACCAGCCACCGCATGTCAACGTGCAAGATGTTATCGCTCATTTCCAAGGAAGCAGCACCCTGAGGAACGATTCCAGCATTTCACAAGCTCAAGGTCCCTCTCATTTTCAGTCAGACTGCACTGCTGCTAAACCCCAAGGAGGAGGCAGCACTGAGAGTGCCGCAGCTCATGTGAGCAGTAATCTGACCTCAGTTCAGTCTTTCCTCCAGAAAGGGCTCTCGGTGAGCGTTGAGAGAGACCTGCCTCGTGCCACCCTAGAGGACTTTGTTCAGGAGAGCAGCTCGCTGCAGAACACAGATTGTTTCGATTACGACAGACGCGTTTGTGCCCTGTTGCTGCAGATAATAACGGGCTCACAACATCTGTACAACGTCAGCGCCACTGCAGCTGAGCTCAGGCCTCGGGGGATCCTTTTAGTGTGGCCTGGAGGGGAGAATGAAGAGGGAGAAAACAAGCTAGAACATGACACCCCGGAAACAAAAAGAGAGCACAAGACCAGCAGAAGGAAAGAGGAAATGGAGTGGGGAAAGATCCAGACGTTATGGAGGACACACGGTTCCCCTCGTGTGGTGTTAACCCCGCTATCGTCTGCTCCGTCTGTACCTAACCGCCTCACCTACATCAAATCCCAGATAGGAGCCTTAATTCAATACTTCCTCAACTCACAAGACAGCCTGACACCTCTGGACCCAGGACCAAACCTGTCCATGTCCTCACACCGAAGGGGGCTACTTTATCTGGCATCTCGGCTGCAGAGTGAGCGCAGCGGGCCACAGATGGCCGACATGGCGGCCATGCTTCAGGTGCTCCTCTGGGGGCCCCGTGTCCCCCTCTTCAATCACAGAGGCTCTATGGCCACCACGGTGCACAACTGGCTGACGGTCAAGCGAGCCCTGCTGGTGATGAAGTTGGCAGAGAGGGGGCTGATCCAGGATCAGTCTGCTATGGATTGGGAGGACTTCATGTGCCTGCAATACCTGTCGTTTACAGACCCTGAGACAGTTTTGAGCATGACTAGTCAGCTATGGCGGACTCTGAATCTGGACAGTCCATGTTGAAATTAAAAGTTGCAGTCCAACATAGCAAGTTGTAAACTGTCATACTGTATTATGCACAAAAAAATACACAAAGAATGTGAATTTGATGAGACTATCATTTCTTTTTCAACAATTAGGACTTTCATACACTGCTCCTCAATTAAATATTGATCCAACAAAATGCTGCATAATCATTATGGTCCCGAAAAGGGTATTTTCTCAATCAGCTTTTTACAATAAGTGATGGAATTGTACATGAACAGCGACTCCATTTTTCTGAATAAATCATGAAGATGAATACAGCATACAGGTCTCAGTATGCACCAAAGGAAGAGCTTTTCAGACCAAGCAGCAGCATCTGGAAACCTCTTTCCCAACATAAGAATCGAGCCATTCCATTTCTCCAACTAAATAGACAATTATGCCCACTTCACACAGCAGATGGGACAGGTGTGCAGCGGTGGGGAAGTAAGGCGCTGTTGTGATTCTCGTCTTTTTTAACTTTAAATAAATAACCGCCAATAGATCCGTAGGAACCAAACTAAGTTCTCCAAGCTCTGTCAAGTATAAAGTGTTTTATTCTTCGGATTCGCAGATATAATAAGACGATGGGCGTGGCTTCAGAATGCAGATATTGACCTAGTTTCATCTTCTTGAACCTGTCATGCACAGCTCCTCCTATAGTTTAGGATGCTCCCGATAGGTCATTATGTAAAACACGGAAGTCACAGAGTCTGGTTATGAAATAAAAAAACAGGTTCACGTGTCATTAGTTTCACTCACGCGGAGGCGCTATTACACAAGGAAACGTTGAAATGACACGCAGCCCACTGCAGGGCTCCCATGAATTCACCAAAGGCCATTACTCAACTTCTCATATCTTTCACCTTGCAGCTGCACCAATTAAACTCATTCACACGTCTCTTTGTAATGGAGGATACATCATCATCACCACCACAGCGGAAGAGGCCTCAACATCCCTTTCCATGCAGGACTATTTATTATATAACGAGCTTTTCTGTTTTTCATTGTGAATATTATCAGAGCACCCTCACACACCGTATTGTACAGAGTTATTTAAACCCTCTGGTAAACAACTACTCTTCTGTACAGATGAGTCTGAACACCATGACTGCAGTCTGAGGAACACAATGTGACAGCAGGCTACTTCACGCGTGGACTCTTCTTCCATTTATACGCGACCGGACAACACATCGAATGGCCTAGTTCCTTCAAAGCACATTAAGAACTTACCTCGTTACTGATTACACAACACCACAGACAGCATTCACTTAGGTGCACTTTTATTTAGTAGTTACCACATGCAGATTTCTATCAAGTGAATCAAACAACAAATGAAAATCATGCACACATTGAAAAATAAAAAAAGATTAACAGGAGGATCAACTGATACTATGAAAATAGATCGACTTACACGAGTAAGATGAATTAGAATTTATCATAAATATTACAGTGTGGAGATGATCGTCGTGGGGTGTTCATGGGAGGTCAGCACTACACATTATGAAGAGTAATACAGTGGCGAGGACACGATGCCCAGATATTATGTGGGCGCTTGCTCTATATTCCTGGTAGATTAACATTTTACCCTAGTGCAAATACCATAGAAACACAGCACATGGTAGCTAAAGGGAAAAACAAACAAAACGGGGGAAACCTCGACCATACTGAACTTGGATAATATATTAATTTCTCAAAACAGAGAAATCATAAAGCTGGGTGGGTGTGGATTGAAATGAGAGCAACTTCTGTAACTGCTCAGCGTCATTTAATCGTCGTCGGAGGAGGAGGAGTCTCGCTCGATGCTGTAAGCCATGAAGAAAGCGTCGGGGCGGGAGGGGACGAGGGGATGACCCGGTCTCACAATCTCAAAGCCCAGGAAACTGAATGTGCGCAGCAGGGAGGCTGAGGAGAGACAAGACGGAAACCGGGGTCAGTCTCTAAGCCTGGATTTCTGAGCGAATAACCCTAACCCGGGCAGAGCGGACAGTCTCGCAAAGTAACTTAGATGTAGTTTACATATGTAGTATAATACAGCTTAGAGTATGTTGACAAATATGTAAAAAACTACAGCATTTAAGTTTAACAGGTCATAGACTCAGAAAAAAACTATCTGAAACACCAGTCATTTATAAATCCATTGAAGTATTATAAACATGATACATATCTTTAAAATACGCCTTTATTTTGAAAGTCCCATGGCACTCCTGTATAACTTCTGTCCAAGCGCATTTTATGAAAAGAATAGGGTTTTTGTTTTATTTAAATGCCTTTTCTTTCACTGTTCAATGTACATTTGAGTCGTATCTGTTCTAAAGCTGCCACTTTATGTTTATGCTCAGGTCATAATGAAATAATTCCCAAGGAACAATTTTCTAAGCCTGTATTAGAAAACTGGTGACACTAAATTAAACTCAAATAGCACGAGTCACAGTTTAAAAGCCCAGACAAATAAATGTCTCACCTCTGTCGTCGCGGTTCTTGTGAAAACAGATGAACACGTGACCGACCTGCAGCTGCTCTTCTGCAAACTCCAGCAGAAGAGCAAAACTGGAGAGAAACACAGCAAACAAAACATGTTAATGAATCACAGGAGGGATGTTAATGAATTTCAGTGGAAAAATATGGACTCATAATGGTCGAAGCACTTATTAGTGATGTTTTTATTTACATACAGGTTTTATTTTGATACAACAGCTCATCTAACGCACAAATTAAGAAAACACGAGGGTCTGTTTTTACTTTGGCTTTTGACAAAATCTTTGAATTCATTCGTTTGAGGAAATATTATAAAAATAAATATTTATCTTATAAAAAATATTGGACCGAGAGATTTTTCTTTTTTTTTGCCGACTGACCTGTCTTTGCTGCCCTCGGGCAAAGCTCCGGGAGGGATTTCGACGTAGAGGTTCCCTCCTTTCAGCGCGGCCCTCCAGACGCAGTGCTTGCCCTCAGAGCGACGGGGCTCGAAGAGCAAGAAGCGCACTCTGCCGTTGGCGGGGGGGGGCTCCTCAAGAACCAGCAACTGAGTATCCTGGAGGACAGAGAGGAGAAGGGGGACACGGGGAATGCATTCATTTCAGATGACATCTTGAATAACGCCAAGTAATCTCATTATCAAACACGTCTTAAATCAGCAGTATCGTCGAGTATGACGAGTAGAATGTGCCAATTCTGATCATTATGATGGAAATTAGGCATCTACTCTTACAATCAGAATTTAAAAAAAGTCATACTGCTGTAAAAAACCTTTATAAAGTGGTTTCACTTACAGAATAGAATAGCTTAGCTGAAAGATTGCGATCCCGCTGGTCATTCCCTCGCCCACCTGGGATCTTCAGGGGTGGGTGAGGGGCATCAGGAGCACCACAGAGGCCCCAGACACGGGTTACTGCAACAGCGGGAGCCCCTCCTGGGACTGGACATACTGGAGTGCGAAAGGAACACACACACGGAAGGAGCCATCATAAGTTCTGCTGCTTAACACAAACCAAACTCCCAATATAAACAGAGAGCTCAGCACACATTACACCGTTGGGTGAGTCATCTCTGAAATAACCGTAAAATAGTTGCTAAATATTAGTGAGTCTTGAGAAACAACAATACGAGGCTGGTGGGAATCGTTTAATCAATAACTGTCCTCTTCTTAGGCACAGAGTGGTGGTGAAAATTAACTTTTTTGGTCTACCTAGCACTGGCTCAGACGTTTGTATGATGTGTTGACTTGTGCACATTAAATGAACAGACAGGAAGGGTTTATGATAAACATCACTGATGATGATACATTAACATTTGACTTTGTCAGCGTATAAGGCAAATATTCAGTACAACCCCTTTAAGGCCAATAACTTAACGATCACATCACCCCGTGGAGACATTCATCGTTCACGTGAGAACAGTGACGACGGACCTCCTAAAAACCGATTTGAGTGCCTTGGGTTTCTGTGGGGTAACTAAGCTCGTCACGTGACTGAGGAGGACTGCCAGAGGATCAGCCTGTGTTTGTCTAACCATTAGCCTACTTTAGTGCTGATGCACTAACTATGCCGTTCCAGTTTACAACAAGTGAGATCAGCCATTTTTTTTTTTCCCCCAGAGGCCGGGTCAAAGTGCTCTGTAGCATTCGCTTGGTTTACAAGCGCAGGTGCCCGTGTGTGTGTGTGGCTGCATTAACACCGTTGCAGGTACCGTGGGCCGACATCCGGAACACAACCCTTTAGCAGCAGCATCGCTGAAACAGCGTGACAAACGCTCTCAGACACTCACAGATGCCCTCTTACGCAAATGCCACTGCTGTGCTATATGCGGAGCAGATGTGTGAAAAAACAAACGAGAACCATTGGCCCTCCCATAACTCGGGCTAACCAGGTCAATGTGCAATGCCCAAACCTATTGCAAGATTTTGCGAGGCAACGTAACACAAATACTCCCCCAAATCCCATTATCGGATTATGCAAATCAGCCAATTAGCATCTTTACAGAACACCTTCAATGCCCCCTCTGCCTGTGCATGAAGACCAACACGCAGCAGAAGGCTCTCACGCAACGGCATTCTTTAAAAAAATCCCCATACTTCCATTAGAAAGCAACACACACTCACGTCCCCGGTTGTCTTGGCAAAGACAGCGGCTTTGGTCACATGACCGGTGAGTCTCTCAAGCTTCTGCTTGCATAAGAGCACCTTTGTCGTGCATGAATATCATGTAAATAACCCCTCACCTAAGAGCGACATCATTACTTAAGTATTACGCCAAACTGTTTTACCACCCTCATCTCAAAGAAGACGAACAGGAGCTGTAAGTGGATGTTTTAAATAGGTCCCCTGCTCTGTAAGCTATGGCTTAAAGAGAGAAAACTGTATTAAATTATCAGGACATATTCTACACCATCATTGGGGTTTTAAATAACAGCATCTATGCTGTTGTTGCCATAAATGCCCGAGGTACACAGCCTAAAAAACAAGTATATCTATTGAATAAGAAAGCTTCTGTGTACAATATGTCATCACTGGGCTTACAATTGCCCATAACACCCCCACTGATGGTGTAGAATATGTCCTGATAATTTAATACAGTTTTCTCTCTTTAAGCCATAGCTTACAGAGCAGGGGACCTATTTAAAACATCCACTTACAGCTCCTGTTCGTCTTCTTTGAGATGAGGGTGGTAAAACAGTTTGGCGTAATACTTAA